GGGGACAATCTGCACTCGCGATCGAAAAACCGTCGCACGAGATGAAGCAAGTGATTCGAGCGGCAGGTGTCAAAGCTCGACGAAGAAAGGAGTCGAACACCGAGCGGCAGCATGTCGGTTAAACGAACTTCTATTTCGGTACCGAGAGTGTTCTCGAGACGGTCACGAAAGGATCCTCGAAACGGTGTCCATTACAAATTCAAATGCGCCATCGATCATTTTATCTACGGCGAACTTACTACTGGTATGTCGATGACGGTGCGCCAAAAATAACAGAAACGGACACAGCAGGATTCAAATTTCGCGCCGAAACCTGAGGCCATGTTTCGTAGCTCGAAACCAACCGACAAATTAAACTGGGAGATCTTGTTTCTATAGTTAGTAATTTAATTAGCAATGCTTCGTCCGTAGAGTCCAGAGAAATGGAAATTAATTAATGTTAGTTACTCTCAAAAGTAATAACGCGAATGAATTAAATATTATAAATAGACTGCGGATGTTTATGTATTTATGACAAGTAAACAAGCATATATTAAATACGTATCGTACCGTTTAGATAATGAGACATACTTTCTTTTAAATCTCAATTATTTATTTGAACCTGTAAAAATATGAATCTGCATAAACATCCGCAGTCTAATTATAAGCGAGCATGGGCCTCCAGTACCTGGAGAACTTCCTGCATTTCAAATTCACTACTCGGACACTATTCACCAACAAATTACTATTTTACTGCATCGTATCACACGAAATTTTCGAGATTAAACTAAGGTCAGGAGTAAATAATTGCCCCCCGTTAATCGATTGCAGAAAAGGGGTAATTATTTATATCCCTGACCTTTCCTTCATCCTGCTACATATTATTTTATTTGCAGCCATTAAAACTTTAGATTTACATCGAGGAATATTTAAATAATTATTTCTAAATTGCCCCTAGTGGCTCGATGCGGACGTTGCGGGGGATTAAACGAGTAAATTCTAGTAAAAGCGAGGTTTGCCCTAAGCCGTGGTTTGAAATAACAGTTTCTGGTCGGTGATCGCGTTCCTTCATACCCGTAATGGCGGTTAAGACTGATAACCGGAAGTCGGGCGCAAGGGAAAACGAGGCGATCGGCAGAGTGTAGTGAGTCAGTGAGACACGGGCTGATTCAAAGGTAACTGTAGGTTAGGTGGGTGCATGGGATGGGATGATATGAGGTTAGGTTGGCGGTCGACGGGGCTCGCCTTGGTCTGGCACCGCTAGTCCTTCCCGTATTGATCGCGTGCTCCTTTCCTCCCTTAGATACCACCCACTTTTGCGCCTTACGTACAGCTTTCCTCTTACCTTGGCGTCGGCACTGCCGAGACACTGGCCATGGATCCTCGAATCAGTTCCTTTCGAATCATCGAATGACGTTCACCCTCCTCCGTGTCACAAAAAGCCAAGAGTTGAAAGCGACGGTTTCTATGCTCGTTCTCTTCTGACTTCAATTCCAAGGGAACTCTAAATATTATGTGTAAATTATTTAAAATAATTCTCTATATTCGTTTCTCTCTCAGGAATGATGGCCCAAAAATACATTTGAAAAAAAAAGCTCCTCAAACCATCTATGCAATTACTAAATAAACGATTTCGCAATCAAAACTCCACACGCCTGAAGTGTTAAAAAATGGTTACCTCTATCACCTTGAAGCGGTTGATAAATGTAATACTTAAAGAGGTGCAACTTGTAAAATGCAGAACGACTGTCTAGATTCATTCGGAGTTGCGTGTACCACTTCTTTCTCATAAAATGTGTAGAGTTAATGCGCGCACTTACACGTCGATCTACGCATAATAAGATGAAAGAGGATGTTAATTGCCGGCGTATAATGAATTATATGTTGAGTAAATTACTTGATAATTGCACTTAGCGGTTTTGATCGCGATCGCGCTGGAATAAAGGTCTCGTTCTATTTGTATTAATGTAATTCCGAACGCAACAGCAGAGAACCCGCGTCGATTGCCTTATTAATGCGCAAAGTCCAATGCATCGGGGTGGGCGAATTCATGAGACTTCGTAAGACTTAACGAGAACGAAACACAATTAATATTAACGTATATCTTGACATCTAATTTATTGCTACATGTCTCTCGATAGGAATCTGTAACACCTGTGATGTAGAGAAATTACGAAGAATACAAATAGGCATTTAATATTAAATAGGTGTATGAGGTCTCTCCCGTGTTGTCGGCGACGGGTGAAATTTTTTTTGAATTATAGATAACGTTCATTACCACCACGTGACAATTTAATCGTGATGTTTACTCGGAGAGAACGGGCCAATTTTTACTTGTCCATTGCGAGATGGTTCATTTATAACAATAGAATTTTCTCTTGAAAGGTGTCAAAAGATAGTTCCTGTGAAAGATCTAATCTTTGACATATTTATTAAATGACATCTAACAGAAAAATAATTGAATTTTCGCTATGAAACGTGTTTAACACAATGATCGTTAAGTTCAAATTTTGTTTGAAGGCTATTGAATATGAGATAATGTAACATTTCTCGTAGTATTTAATTCCTTAACCTCGGCAAATTCACGAATCCTATCCAGATTTATTTTCATCACTAGCTCGTCTGCTTAATTCATTTTTTAAATTTTAAATCCTTTCTATCTAAACATTTTTGTCACGCCTCCCTCTTCGAAAACACGGCCCCTCCCCCCCACATTGGAAAACGCTGGTTTAAAGTGTTAACGATGCGCATGAACGAGGTACAAATTAAATGGGAAAATTCTACGTAGGAAAGCTCAGGCATCGGTATCGAGAGCTGTAATTCCGATCCTAGTTATTTCTAGGATCTGCATACCGGCCGTGTCCGTGCCCGTGACTTCTAGTTGCATGAGCGAAGAAAATGGAAAGATTTCGTGCGTGAAGTATTATTGGCGACCCGCTAATACACGAGAGTCAAGGTGAGGATGAAGGGGTATTAGAAGTTCACGCTTGGACGGAACACGCGAGTACTCGCAACCGGCACGCGACTGATTTGCTGGTCAGCTCACGCGAGAAATAAAAATCCCTCCATTTTTCTTCACGTTCTGTTCTTCTCGTTTCATCTCGTGCTCCTCTTTCTGGATCACAAGCTCTCGCCATCTGGACCCCTTTTTTGATGAAGCGTATCAGGCCTCATTTGTTTTGACCAGTTCATTTCAAAGCTCATGTGTCACGGCATCTTTAGCGAAACTTCTTCAATTGTAAGATTTGCAATCTGTTTAAAAATGTTTCAGTTCTCGAGTACGTAATTTGGAAGCAATCTATTTGGAGCTTTCGATTCCATAGGACTTGATTTGAAAGCAACCCATTGAAAATGGCGCCAATCAATTATTCTTTCCATTTTTGGATTTCTTATCGATCCTCTATTTTACGTCGATGCTCCATTGCCATAGGAAGAATATTTCCCAACGATTCAACCCGTTTCGAAGTCCGAACTCAATTGGACCGATTACATAGAATCCCTAGGGGATGGCGCGCTTCACAGAAATGGCCATGTCGGCCATTTCGATGGGATGTAGTGGGGGCAGGAGGCGAGAAAATCCTATTACAGCTTATATTCGTGGTACAGGGGGGCTCGATTGAAGCTCGGGGGAATCTCACCCTCCGCACGGATCCGTATTGACGTGACCACCGAGAGGAACCCACCCTCCGGATTAACCAATCAAATCGCAGCATCCGTTGCGCATGCGATCGCTCCGATATCCATCCCCCAGGTCAATCGGTTATGGTGTATCGTGTCCCTGGCGCTCAAGGGATGGGTTTCCGAGCGACTCCATTTTCAGGGGATGGCTTTCGTTCAGTTGCGTAAAATTGGAGGGGTTGATGCGATGGATTGTGCTCTGCTTAAAAGCTTCGGATAGCGAGGGTCAATTAAAGCGCATATCATTCAGAAAAAACCGATTCTTAAGTATTTTGTTCGGGTGCATTCGAATTGGAAGTATCGAGTTCGAAAGAATTCAATTCAAAAGCTTTTGATTCGAAATAAACCAATTTGGAAGCGTTCAGTTCGAAAAAATTCAATTCTCAAACATCCGAATTGAACGTACTCAATTCCACGGAGCCAAATTTAAATGCGCTCGATTTAGAAATAATCCCAATTTGAAGTATTCAGAAGCTTCCGATTTTAAAACTTTCGACTCAGCAGCACGCGTTTCGCAACAATAATTCGCATTTCACTCCGCGGACGTTTCACGATCGACCAATTACCGCGTGAAACGTCTCGGTAAAGGGAAAATCATTCGAAGGTCGTCAGAGCCGAAGGATATCGGTGCTGAGGCGGATCTCTCTCCATATTTCAGAACAATAACGTCTGTCTAGCGTGCCAGGCACGGGCACCTACGGCAACGGCTCGAAATAAAACAAAACAATACACATTTAGCTCGAAACAAAGCAAGTAGTCTAGGCTTAAACGGCTCCCCGTGTCTGCGATATAGCTCGACCGTTTAAACTAGGACGGATATTTCGGGCTTCGATACGAACGTTCGAGTTTCCAGCTCGTTTTGGTATTCGAAAGCCTGATATATCGGAACGTCGATTAATGGGAAAACTTTCTGAAACGTTTTCAGGTAGCCGGGGAACACTCGTTTTCGAAAAGGAAACGAAAGTTCACTGGCAATTCTTTTTTAAAACGTCCTGAATAAAAAAGAAACAATCCAGATACAATATTCACTGGGTATGAATAATATACCAGAAAATAATTTGGTATGATTCATTGATGCCATTTAATTCGTCGTGTCGATATGAATTAAAAAGTTGTTTTCCATTTTTCAATTTAAGGCTTCGTTACCGAGATACAAGCAGTTAAAGTGAGCGCATGCGTACCATCCGATCAGCTGACAGGACTACAAAATGGCGCACAACTCCGTCAAACTTTAATCGCTCGTATCTCGGTAACGAAGCTTCCGATTGCAAAATGGTAAATGACTTTTCGATTCCACAGTACGAGCAGATACTAATCTCCGCAAAATGATTCGTTTGTTCCAGGCACTAAACGGGTTCCTGCTCATACTTACTTGCGACGGGGAGGTGTTCTTCGCCACTCACAGCATAGAAAGTTACCTTGGCTTCCATCAGGTATAAATCTTCCACGAAATTGTCAACAGACCTTCCAGCCTATCTGCCATGAAACGTATAGTGCATAATCTAACATCGATCCGAATCATCAGGAAACAAATCCTGTATGTCTTGACTCACTCAATATTAAACGACCCAAACAACCATAGTCAAAGGCAGCACAAGCTCTCAAAAAGGCACGCCTAACGTTCCTCTGACCAAACATAACCGTGGTATAATGTGGATCAGGCCCGATAGCCTGCAACCGTCCAGACAATCAGAACGTCGCCTCTAGGACGTCGTCAACCTTTCGCACGCCTATTGCGTGTCTCCAAACCTGGAGAAAACAATGTATTTATCGGGCCGAACGGTGATATTTTCCTTCCCATTCTCTCGTTACAGCGTAATTCTAGGCACAGTACCTACACCCTCAGCGTTCGTTTATCTTCAGTCGACTTGTGTCCACACCCAGCACTCCCCGGTCACGCCAGGCCCGTCAGCTTCGTTCTACGTGTCACGTTTACGCAAGCATCCCCCATATGCTCGCATCAACGCACCCTTTTCCCTCGACTGAACGACGGGCGTACATTTTTTAAAAGAAGCGGACTATCATCATGGCTGCCCGATACCTTCGCGTCTCCTGTCCAACTTTCACTCGTCACACGACCGTCTCTCTGTCGCGGACCACTCGCTGCCTACCCTAACCTTCAACCTTTCGCAATCCACGTCCAATATCGAGGTGACGCGTGCTGTCACCCTTACCGTTAACGCCAAGTCGAGGGAAACTGGGCTACGCCAAGTACTAGATTCAGAGTTCTAGGAGAACAATAAGTCGCACTTTAGAGTGACAAAATCAGACTTAACTTGAAAGCGGAGTAGGTGGCAATTCTGATATCCCTCGCTCAAGAATTGCCTCGCTTTTTGATCAATTTAATGGAATCGTGCTTATGAAAATAAGGGCACGGTTAGTTAAAGCCCTGATAGTCCCACAGAAACGAGCACGAGGTTTCCTCGCGAGTACCAAGATTCGTGCAACTATGGGGGTAACCAGTCTAATAACGAGTCGAGGAAATCCTGAGACTGCTGACAGTCCAAGGTACAAGTAATGCGAGTGGGAACGATGAACAGACTCCATGAAATCAGGGAAGAGACGGATTAAACGAAGAAAAAGCAATTCGCCTTCCTACCCGGAACAGAACGATATCGTTCAACCCCCGGTGAACACACCGAAATGCGATCTGCACGCACGCAGCCACGCACGCGACGCGCGACACACTGGGAGAAGAAACCACGAAAAGAAAAATAGAGGAGAAGCGCGGAGAAAAAGAATGACGGATGATGATTTCCCGACGCACGATGACTGTACACCAGAAACGCACGCGAGCTCTTTTGTGCAGCAAAGTGTAATTGCAGGAAACGACGAATGATGATTTTCCGATCCGATGATCCCGTGTACCGCGGGACAAAGGAAAACGCGTTACAATCTCGCGTTCCTTGTAAACAAATTTCGCGGGGCGATCGCTCGGAACCACGTGCTCTCGCCCTCCACTTCGGCTCTCACAGCAATGGCCGCTCGACTGTCCCGCGAATTGAGGTTAGAATATTTCGAGAACTTTTGCCTGGAGAACCATGACACGTACAAATTTAAACTTTTACACAGAAATTTGTGCCTTTTGGCCAACCGAACATAAATTATCAAAGCGTTTGACTTACTTAGACAGTTTAAATTTAAACGCTTGAATTAATACAAAACCTTGAAAATCGTTTTCAAGAAAACACGGAATAATAAAATTCCAAATGCTTCGAGATCGATTTCTGAGACTATCGAGTAATGTTGAGCACGATATCAAGGAATATATTATAGAGAGAAAAGGAAGCGTTTGAAAAACGTTAGGGGTCGTTAAATGTTATTCGAGATACCGCGGCAATCTTGATTCGACCCCTTTTTTTTCTTCGCGCTTCGTCTCTCGAACGCATTTAACAGGTAATTTGTTTATATAAAATAAGGAAAAGCGGCAGGTCGGAATAATTCCTCCGGTCGACTTTGCGCCAGCATTCATTGAGATGTAACCAGGCACGCAAACGGTTCGCACACACGTCACGATACCCGGGGACGACGATGATTTTTCTTACTGATTAGGGGATATTTAAGAGGAACGAAGTGTGCGACGCAGCGATTTCCACGAGGGTGTATTTTCCCTCAACTTTCTTCCTCCTTTCGGTTCCCTTGTTATCAATGTTAGGCCCTCGAGAATATAGCGACCCTAAAGGATAATGGACGCTTAAAAATACTTAAGAATACTTTGGAAATGACGAAGGACACTGCCGAACACGATATACGTTCGTTAAAGCTAATTATAAGTGGAAGGGTTGAACCACCCCAAGTCCAGCCGTCATCATCCTCAGATCCCGGAGCAAATTAACGACGAGTAAGGAACCTCAGACTCCCGACGGCTTCTCGAACGGCGAACGGCGAGCACTGGTTGACACTTGACGAGTTCCTAGAACGTAGTCAGAGCACGCAAACGTGTAACCGTTGGAACACATTGTAAAGAAACGGTGTGGCCGATGATTTCCCGACTCGATGACCGTGTATCCGAGCCGACGTAATCGCGGGGCGTTTCGGATGACGCGATTACACGGCCCTGTAACTCCGCAGAAAGCGTACCTCCATACTCGCTCCCTCCTGCCCAGGCCGCCACTCGATATCACCTAGAACTCGGAGAAAAACCGCGTAATGACAGCGTCGGGCCGCAATGTTCCTCGCGGTAATTCACGAGCCGGGACTCCGTACTCTTTAGTTCCGTATCTCACGCGAGAAACGGGGGGCAAGGAAAAAAGCGACGGGAAAGCGGGGGTTGGAGACGGGGGTGACCGGCTCGCGATTGTTCGCGGAGTTGGCATGCGGCTTAATTGGCCTGATAGAGTCGATTCAATGCTCAACGAGCCTTTATGCGGCTCGTGACCCGCGTCGGATAAAAGTAATAACTTAACTGAAAGGTCAAAGGGTGTTTATCGGCCGCGGGACCGACCTTCGCGAACCATGGAAAATCTGATGGCGGAAAGGAAGGGAGAAAAGACAGGCGGGAGAGTTCTCTGAAGGAGGGATGGGGTTGAGACAGTTTCCAGATGTGGGGGTTGGGGAAGTTGGTCTGGGTTGAGATTAGAGGGAATCTGGGATTGCGTCTTGGGGGGTGGAAGTCCTCGCGTGTAGACATCTGTTGGCTATGCTACAAATTCAGATTGATTACAATTGGCCAGCGAATATGTTTACTGCAATTTGGATTAGGAATTATTAGAAAGGATTTTGTTATAAAAATAATAACTTAGACGATACGGTTATATTGATTATGTATCTTGGCATCCAGGGTTAAGTCGTTGTTACTGGAGGACGGTTATTGTTAACATTCTAGTATTCTTCTCCTTCCTTTACACCACAACCTCTGCACTGTGTCTTACGAATCTCAACAACTGATACTCGCAATTCAACCTTCTTCTCAACATCTCAGAGCACTGTACCAGCAGGTCCACCTTCGATGTCTCCCGGCATTTGAGCTAGGAATTAAATCCCCTTTCTACGATCCTCGTGTTCCCCACAGACCACAACAACGCGGCCCTCCGCCTCGTCCAGGCAACGATGGGCCCGGCAAAGGATCTCCGCGGCCCAGAGGCATCCATTAGAAATCAATTGGCCGCGTTAACTTTAAATACAGCTTAGCCGTGGCAACGAGCGGCCGGTTCGCACGCGCTGAATTATGTGGCGCATTTTGACAATTAATAGCCGCTAATGAAGACGCGATCCTGCCTGGCCCGGAGCAATTTCCCCTCCCCTTTGGTCTATACAAGGTCCGCTTGGTGGATACAAAGAAGATCGAAAAGGGGGTGGAAGGGGGCTCGTTCATAACTCTCGAGCGTAATTGAGAGCTCAACTTTCGGTATCGCCGCGTTCCGCCTCGCATTATCGCGCACGCCGGCCCCTCGTATCGCGCAAAAAACGCGCGCGTGTTCGTGCTCAGGCCCCGTAAGGAGGTTTCATGCGCGGCGGGCCGAGGGAACCCCCGTCCAGGGGGCGGGTGGTCGTCCAGTCGGCTTTCGATAATTAATGCGGCCCGCGGATTAATTATTATTAGCCGGCTGATTTGTTTCAATTTGTAGTGGGTCCTTTGATCGCGCCGAATCGTGTTTACGTCGATTTCACCCGGCGTCCACGCTGATTTATCACCGAGCCTCGCGGACGCGCGTCGGGATTTACGTGAACGCGATCCAAGCGCAATCCCGTTCGACCGTTTGTCGTTGCCCTCTCGTCCGATAACGATGTAGGCGGCTGTTCTACGGGAGGAACGGTGTTCAATTTGTTTCTACGTTTGGAGACGTCTTTTGCTTTTGGGGAGACCTCGGTGATCCTAGCTTTGGCGCATCAGAGATGGAAAGAAATGGATTCCCTCGGTTCTATAGAAACTTTTAGAGTTGGTGGATGTAAACACAGGTTATTCCTATCGTTATTAAAGCTTTTTTGATTGTTAACGCATTCAGACCTGAATAATCTTTTTTCTCGTACTATTGTAATTTAATTTTTACGAATAGAAAATTCCTAGGGTTATTAACAAACTGATAATAACTGTATATATAGGGACTGTAGATGAGTAGACGGTGCACATGACTTCGGAGTCGCGTGGTGGAGGGTGAACATAAAGAATAGGCATCGGGGGAGAACAGATTCTATCCCGTTTGAACCATTCCTCCTTCTCTTGTTCTATGGTCGCGATTAGCGATCCTCGGGGCAAGGTGTCGGTCGCCTTGCAGGAAGATCCGAGCGCCCAGCGAAATTCGTTGACCCCACCCTGTGCCTCTTTCTCTTGCCCCCTCCATTTTATTTTCCCCCGGCCGTCCGTTCGTGTTTATTTTTCCCCTGGAACCTCCGCGGCCAGTTACCAGCGACGGGCGGTTTGCCGGTAAGGCCCGGTAACGTTTGTTACCATTGCTCGTTTAAATAATCTCGAAACATGCATCCGCGGGACGGA